TGCCTTTTACATCAAAACTGCTTGAGAAAGTCTGGCCTCACATTTAGCTGACTCTGATCTGTTTGAGGTTTTTCAATCTGAGTTCAGGTCTGGCCATAGCACAGAGTCAGCTCTACTGAGGGTCCTAAATGACATCTATCTATCACTAGATCAGGGTACATCTGTGGTGCTTCTGTTGTTAGACCTGACAGCAGCCTTCGACACAGTTGACCACGCGATTCTACTGGATCGCTTGGAACGATGGGTTGGGATCAAAGGGTCAGCTCTGGATTGGTTTAGATCGTATCTCCAAAACAGGACATTCTGTGTTAAACTGGGTGATGTTTTTTCTTCTTGGGAGGGGCTCCGCTGGGGGGTCCCGCAGGGGTCGATCCTTGGTCCTCTTTTGTTTGCCATTTATCTGCTTCCTCTGGGGTCAATCTTTCGTAAACATGGCCTATCATTCCATCTCTATGCTGACGATTGCCAGATTTACTCTCCATTGTGTCAGGAGAAAGGTCACTCTATCCAGTCCTTTGTGTCCTGTATTAATGAGGTGAAGTCTTGGCTGATGGCCAACGTTCTACATCTGAATGAGGGAAAGACAGAGCTAATAGTTTTTCACCCCAACAGCAGGAATGTGGGTCGTTATGTTGATCTTGGCCCACTTTCTCCCTACTCAAAACCAGTTGTTACCAGTTTGGGGGTGAAAATTGATGCTGGACTTAAATTTGATGCTCACATCAACTCTGTGATCCGGTCCAGTTTCTTTCACCTGAGACACCTTGCAAAAATCAACCCATGCTGTCAAGAGCCCACCTGGAGTGGGTACTGCATGCCTTTGTTATTTCTAGGCTTGATTACTGCAACTCTCTATATGCAGGGTTGTGTCAGTCATCACTGCGTCACCTACAGGTTGTGCAGAACAGCGCAGCCAGGTTCCTGACTGGGACCAGGAAACGGGACCACATCAGTCCGGTTCTGGCCTCCTTGCACTGGCTTCCGGTTTGCTATCGCTCACAATTCAAAATCCTCGTCTTTGTTTATCATTTCTTCCAGGGTGGTGGTCCCCCCTATCTAGCCACACTCCTGAACAGACATTCCCCATCACGCACTCTGCGCTCCTCTGACCAAGGCCTGCTCGCTGTCCCTCATTCTAGGTGTCGTACTCGCGGGGACCGGGCTTTCTCAGTCCTAGCACCGTCACTCTGGAACCAGTTGCCACCCTCAGTTAGGCTGTCCCCATCTCTGCCAGTCTTTAAGAGTCGCCTAAAAACCCACCTCCTCCGCTTGGCGTTTCCAGAACATGTTTGATTTTGGCCCTCTTTTATGTTGAATTTATTTCACAGTTTTCATTGGTTCACTCTATCCATTGTTTGACACATTTGTCCTGTACCAGAATGTTTCACCTATTTTTGTAATTTGTATTGCTTTTATTTTTGATTTATTCAATATATTTACCTTCAGCTGTACCGTGTTCAGTGCCTTGGGCTTCCTGACAGGGTTGCGGAAGGCGCTTTATAAATAAAGCTTTGATTGATTGATTGATTGATTGGTTGATTGATTGATTGATTGGTCTTCTAATGGAAAAATCTGTAGCTCCATCCTCACTCCGCTCTCCACATGTTTCTCATCTCTGGAAGCTACCTCCCACAACACTTTGATGTTATATATAATTTGTTTCTTTCAGGCTAAATGAACCCAAAGTAATTTGCTATCAGACTGATTGTTGCAGCTACAAATGGCTAACATGGAGCCTTGCAGGTGTAGTAAAGGTGAGTTGTTTTTAATCATCATGTAATCTTCATTACAGCCTTTGAGTTTTAACATCATCTATGTTTTTGTTTCATAGCTTATTGCTACATGTGTGTTGCTGCTGTGAGCTTGGAGCTAGATTACATCATGACATCATGAAGGAGGCTACTAATTCTGGCCCCATGACACTTGGTGGTGACGTGTGAGCTGATTCACCTGGTAAATAACTTTTACATGAAATATTTTGTTCTTTGCTATCAGAAGTAAATTAACTAATAACCTGCATTATTGCAGGACACTCAGCAAAATATGAACGCTACACCATGATGCAGGCACACGTTAATATTCTGTAAGAGCACATGAGGTGAGCAACACCACAGATCATCATCATTATTATTATTACACTGTCCTGGATTTGTTTTCTTTCTACATCCCAGGCTGTTCACCTGATAACTCCTGTCATCTGGTTATGACAGCATGAATAGAGAGAAGAGACAACACCACATCCCCTGTTCGTGGAAAACCTTCAGCCATCCTTCAACAACTGAAAACCACCATCCAGCTCTGTCTCCTGTCTGCCTACAATTATTATTATAAATGCTGAATGTGTTTATCAAGTTCTCTGTTCTCTGTGATTGTGTAATAAATGAACACATTACAGAATAATTTTCTCATGGGGTATTTTTATAACTTTCTCTGCAGCAGACAGTAACTTTAGGCCAGGGCTCCTAGAGAGCTGCTATGACACGTTTCAGTGGTTTTCCTGCTTTAACAGGTTAGATTAGCTGTTCAGCAGCTCAGCTATTTGCTGCTGATTAAAACCAGGTGTGTTGAAGCAGATAAACCTCTAAAACATGCTGAATACTAGCTCTCTAGGGTCGTGGGCCCGAACCCTGAAGCTAATCTAATGCTATGGCTAACGGCTACTTCCCATTCAAAGCTGGTTCTGTTGGGTCGGCTCCGGTGGTTTCAGGCAACTCACAAGCTCAAAACAACAAGACTCAGGTACACTTGTCTCCTCCAAACACTTGGTCCCTTTCTTCTCGATTGTCTGGGTAAGGAGGGTGAGAAATGTCCTCCACTTAAAACTTGAATATGTACAGTATATCCAATGAACTCATATTTTGAAGATTATTCATTCAAAACTGCATATTGTTGTCTAAAGTTGTCACGCAGCCATTTGATTTCTCTCTTTTCAGACATTCAGTTTAAATATTTTATCAAGTGTTTTTTTCCCCTGTGGTCTGTCCTAACTTTGTGTTCAAAAAGGTAAAAATGCTACAAGACTTGGAGTAACAGATCAAAGGCAATTAAAAAACTAAGTCTAGCATTATACTGAACTAATATTTGGAGTGTGGAGCTATTTGAAAGTGTGTGTTAGTGCAGTGTGAAGGCTTTGATAAAGAAAAGTGTGTCTCAGCAAAATTGGCCAAACATCACAGTTTCTCCTCCCCGAGAGAGCAGTGCTGTTTCTGCTTCTTCCAGCAATAAATCAAAACTTACATGAAGTGCTGTCGTAGCTTCAGCTCCAGGTGACGCAGGCTCGGAGCCTTGAGAAACAGTCCTGCATTCACTGCTGTAAGCTCTAAAAGACAAACAAGAGATGACAAACTGCAGGATGAGACATTCAGACACAAGGAAGAAAATCTACTTTTTTGAGACCATACATCTGAAATGCATGTTGGTGATTTAGCTACAGTATGGATAATTGGGTCCTGTTGTAGAAAAAGGTCTGAGTTTGGTGAGTTTTGGTGAGTGTGAGGCCATAAGTGTTTTTGATTGCTGTTATTTCAGGACCGAAGAGATGAAACGTGCAGGAATTTCTGTTAAATCACAGTGTCACTGCTAAGCCTGTTCATTAACACTTACAGAATGTGTGTTTATAATCTCAGAGACTTAAAACTACAAACATTTGCTCACAAAAACATTGGTTTGAGATTCATTATTGACAGCATTTTTTTAAATGGCGTGATAGCGACCTCGCCTGGTCATCATGCTGAACTTCATGCATCCTATGATAATAGAAAACCCATCCTCACCTGTTGCTCTGCTGCAATTTTAACCATCCAGTCACTGATTTCACAGGATTAGAATCTGGCTCACAGGAAGTGGACCAAATTCTGAGTAAAAACGCCCTTAATTTAAAAATCAAACCGGTAGCTTGTAAATGCTGCTAAACTGATGGTGACTTTTGAGCTCAAATAAATATGTATTATATGCATATAAAAATGTGCATGTAAACGTTTAACTTTTCATTCCTTCAAATGAATGAATGAACTCGTTCTTAATTAGCTCCTGCTGAAGCAGGAACACACGTGTTGACTCGTGCATGTCAATTAATTGATGTCATCAGAGGGACAAACAAACTCACACAGCTGTTTTCCCAGCAGTTCTCAGGAAATTTCCATTCACCTCATTGAGAGTCGCAGCCTGACCCCCCCCCCCCAACACACACGCACGCGCGCGCGCACACACACACTTTTTATTTCAGAAGGCTGTTCTTACCATAAAGGACGTGCAAAAGACAAATAACAGTTTGCAATTTTAAAAACAACCGTTTTTAATTCAAGTGATATCAGTGAAAATATCTATTTTTGCAGATTAATTCCTCGTGTCCTTGTGTGTGTGTGTTTTGTGTGTTGTGTATGTGTAACAAAGCCAAACGTTTAGTTGGATTTGTGTTCCAGTTCATTTATGATCCAAGAAACAAAAATGTGTCATTGAGGTTTCTGATAAAAGCACATAAAAACCTCTCAAAGTTCAGAGAGATCTGGTCCATCCTCCTGCAGAAATGATCATTAATAACCATAAATCACCATAACTGTTTAGTAATGATGAGTTCATCGTGCAGGCTTCTTTTGCTTTAAAATCTTAAGTAAGGGTCTACGTGCGGGACGTGTCGTCCGCTCACAACTATCAGCCCGACAGCTTCTGCCTTCATGACTTGTTTTTCTGAGGTGGGCGTGCCCATTCAGCTTCAGTGTAACTAGTCAGCTATGAAATAAATTAAAAAAATACCTAGTCAGCTATGAGTGGTTTTGGTGGCTTCATTTCCAGTTTAAGTTAATTTTTAAAACTTGGTTATGTTGGAGGCATCAGCTCTGGAGGCTGGGTTCGGGATCTTTCTCCGCCGCCGGGGGGTGGGGGTCAAACCCTTCCTCACCTCATCTTTATCAAAGGGACGATACCGGCAGAGTGCGCTTCAGATGTGAGCTGGAACCTCATTGGCTATTAAATGTGTTGGGCGTGGACTCCCCGCGCGGGTATTTAAGGCTTTGTTCCATTGTTGCGGTGTGTTTTACTGCTGGTCCGACTCAGGAGTAGGAGGAAGGCCATCTGTGGCAGAATACCATCGCACTTTTCTGTCCTGTCTTTTGTTCACAATAGGAGGCGTTTGTTTCATAAATGTCTTTTTCTTGTAACCGATCTCTGGATGGCAGAATTCCTCCGTCTCCAGCGGAGAGAAGGGACCCCCAGAGGCGGTCCTGGAGGCATCTGCTGCACAAGCTGCTGGAGGTGAAGGCAGTCAGCCAGGGGACCGCGACAGATCAGTGCAGGAGTGAACATGGTGAGGTTCCTTTGCTTAAAACATTTGTTTTGCAATAGAATAAATGGAATTGAAATGTCAAAGGTGCAACGTTTCTAACCAGTTCCGTGTTGGTTTTAGGATCTGGGGCTGACCTATCCCAGTTAGAGTCAGACAGTAGCTTCTTCTGCTACCCCATGGAGGAGACCCTGGCTGCTGAGGTGGTGGCCTTCATCACACAAAGTTTGAACAACGCATTCCAAGTCCTGTGCTGCTCCAAACTCATCCTGCCAGACAGCCTCCTACACAGCATCAGCAAGGAGCTGCTCCACCTGGCTGTGAATGAGCCTTGTGGGCTGAGGGGGGCCCTCATCGACCTGTGTGTGGACAGGGGGGACCAGGGATCGCTTTGCTCTGTGAGTCAAATAGCAGTGGATCCCAGTCTGGTCCCAACCTTCCACCTGACCCTGGTGCTGAGGACTGAGTCCAATGGACTGTGGCCAAAGATTCAGAAGCTCTTCAAAAGCAGCAAGCCGACTTCTGCCATGTCGCCTCGACACCGCAACACCCTGAGACTGAGCTCCGGCTTCAGGGCCATCAAGAGGAAACTGTACAGCTCAGGAGAGCTGCTGATTGAAGAATGCTGCTGAACTCACTCGTGTGCCTTCATAAGAGACTCCATTACCCCCGAACACACACATGGGGATAAAGCCATTTTTACTGTATTTGCAAAGACGCTTCAGTCCTGTATCAACCTTTTATTAATGCTTTTAGTCAAAGAACCAACTTGTGTCACACGGCAGCTACTCACCTGGTCACAGGTGACTCATCTGAAGTTTCATGTCTGAACATGAGTCTGTTTCTTTCCTACGAATGTGAAGGCACATCCTTCAGGAAATGTATTTGATAGTCAAATATTACCACCTGGAACATGTTTAGTATTTTTACCTTAAAGAGTGTGAGAATAAATTATTTTCTATTAAATCTGAGTTTCTTGCTTTGGTCCAACCTGACACAGAAACTGTTTAAATGCACCAAAGTTTGTTAAAGAAAAACAAAGGCAGGTCATTTTAGGGATAAATTTAATTCAAATAAACGTATACAAGTTTAGTTTTGTTAATTTAATAAATATGTTTTACTTTTGTGCAACAATTTTCAATCATGTTCCAACAGGCTACGAGCAAATCCACAAAACGATGTAAATAACTCCCTGACAACCCTGCACTGTTAAAGTAAAATGAGTATTTACATTGGTAAGAACTATAAAAAGTACACACTTTTCCTCGCGAGTGGCTCAGATGGACTTTGTCTAGGAGAAGGCCTTGAGGTTTTGGGTTTATTTTCTAAGAAAAAAAAATAAAAAGATCAGGAAGAAAGCTAATCTCAGCAGCTTTGTTAACAGTTCAGATAACGATGTTCTCACTTTCCGTCATGATTCTCACTGCTGTTGAGACAGGAGCGTATGAAGATGTCAGCAGTCAACTCAAAGCTTTTCACAGTTCTACGGAAAGTCGATCTACACGAGGCTGCTGACGAGGTCCGCTGCACATAAGGCGTGTTTTTGATTCTCTTTTGCTGCAAAAATATGCTCCAAATTGAGTGGCCCCCAACTGATTTCTTCTCTTTCGATTTGAGTATTGACACACCTATCAAAGAATAAAACATCAGTTGTTACTCTGAAAAGCTAGCATCAGATGCTTCATACAGTAACATGAATACTTCTGGAACTGCTACAAAAGCCCGCAAGGATGATTCCATTTTGTTAAAAACTTGACCCTTGATCAAGACTGGTAATCAATGACAGACCAATCAGGCTGTGCTACTGACGTCTGTCATCTGACAAAAAAACAGAGCTGACCCTTCAGTATCACCTGTCCGATTAACATGCTGCGATAAGCTGACTGATAGATGTACAGCTGACTAAATGCACAGATTTCTTTCCAGTCCACAAACTGCATGAAGAGATAAACCGAAGATGTGTACCTGTATGTGTGCAGGCATATCCTAGCCGTCCAGTATGACCTGAATCTCAGATAATCTGGAGCAGCTCGGTGTACCCATTCTTTGCGCCCTTTGGTACAACTCAGAATCACCAAAGTAACGAGCACGATACAGCAAGCCTTCCTCTGCAAGAAGAAGAACGAGTCAGTACTTTTTTTTTATCTCTCACTGTAATATTTCACAGTCTGTGTAAAACTCTGATGTAGTTTCAATGTTCCAGGTGTGGATGGAAGCTATCTGCAAACCAATGTTGTGAAGCTTCTAAAGCAGGAACAGATTTGGGTCAGTGGTTGACAAGCTGATAAGGCGTTTAAAGGTCTCATTCACTCGTTTCTTAAACAGATGTGCTGTGTTCTAAAATGAATGAATCATTTTCTGTGGGGGAAAAGCTCTAGCGCTCCCGTTTGGGGGGGGGGGGACAACAGGATTACGAGACTTGCTCTTTAACATTTATGATCTGGAACATCTAGGCTGATTGGTCAGCAGCTACGACTCTTCTGCTGCCTTTGTTAACCAAACACAGAAAATGTAAAACGTTTTTTGACCAAAGAAATACAACATAGGTGTTTTTCCTCAAGGAACAAGCCTGAACACGTTCCTCAATCCTGTGGAGACGCTAATTCTAATGGTTAGCCTCCACTAGCCGAGACGAGCTCTGCTCTCCCCTTCCTGTGGTCACAAGCCCAGGTGGGCGAGGCCATGAATACCAATATTCCCTGTGATGTTTTACAGTGGTTGAAGTGTTTGCATCATGTTTGAAAAATATTCTAAAAAGTTCACAAATGTGCAACATAATGTGGATTCATGGATTTGCATGAAAGTGGAAGAGCTGGGAAGTTTGGTTCTAGTGGCAGGATTCCTGCTGCTCGGATCTTCAGAACTCCCACTGTTTTATTTAATAACGCACAAATGATCTCTAGTGTGAAAGTAAAACGGGCCAGATGATTACCTGGAAACTTGCTGCTGTTAGTGGTCACAGAAGCTTAAACGTCTTATTTAAATCATAGAAATTCTGTTAATATTATCCTATTTGAATTCAAACTGAAGGTTTGAAAATAATTCCATCCTTGATTTTTGAACAAGCTTGAGAAAAATGACCAACAATGAAGGAGCTGTCCGGCTGTAAACTCACTCTGCTGCTTCTCCTTCCAGCAGTTGTTTCTTAGATTAGAGATGTAGTCTTCTTCTACACTTCTCTCCAAATTCTTCAGGTTATTGCCTGTAAATTCTTCATTAAAACGGTCCCCCACATAAAAAGGCACCTTTAGGCTTGATGTTTGCCTTTTGTGAATATGTCCAGCGGACCTAATGATCAAAAGGCATACCAAGTGAAGGTAAGACAGATGTTGAAAACTTTAGAACAAACCCAAATCTCAGAAGAACAAAGAATGACTTACGGACGATAGCTAAGGCTGTATGAAGGCGGCGTGACCATCAGCTGGCTGAGAGCAGAGACAATGATGAGAATTAAAATGGGCATCAGCTGGACAAGTAGAGCGAAACCTCCCTGTCTCAAAAGAAAAAGAACACATTAGATAATTTTCCTCATCAGGTCAGACTTGAGCTGGAATCAAGTCTAATTTGTTTTTTTACAAACTCACGTCTCTCTGCTGTTCTCGTCTTTCTTGCCTATTCTGGTGTGCAAAGTGCATTCTCCCATTTCTGTAAACATGTACATTACCTAAAAACAGTAAAAACAAAAAAAGCAGTCAAGCAGGATGATAAACTAGAGCTACAGCTATAAGGAACGTTCTAACTTCTATCACAGTAAATACGCCCTCAGGATTGGTTTAATATTTACATCAAGCTGCATGTGCTGTGAAGTTAAGAAATGTTTTTTTTCCTTCCTGCCAAAGCAAGGCAGCTCTTTCAAATGCAGCCAATAAAAGCGTAGAGTTGAAAAAGTGGGTCAATCCACAGCAAATCGGGTTTGCCTGCAGCAGGAAAGTGTTTGATGATTAATAAATCCTAATGTCTTTAATTACCCTGAAACTTTTTTTACATTTCGAAAAGAAATGTCTTCTCATTTATTCAAGGAAGTGCATCAGCAAAAGTAGGACTAGCAGCCACACCTGTAAGGTTCTGTTTCCGGCTCTGAATGAAAAGTAACTCGCACCTACAGTGGGTGCAGAAAGCATTCAGACCCCCATCAATGTTTCACTCATTATATTGCAGCCATTTGCTAAAATCAGTTCAATAAAAATTTTCCTCAGTGACCACACAGCATCCCAGTCTGACAGAAAAACACAGATTTTTTTAAATTTCTGCAGATTAAAAAATAAACTGAAATATCACATGGAAGTCAGGGGTCGGCAACCTTTTCCCATCAAAGAGCCATTATTACCCGTTTCCCACAGTAAAGAAAACACTGGGAGCCACAGGAGCCGCGGCGCTGTGGGCACGCCTACCGGGCCTGAGCCCACCCACTTGCACTTGTAGTCTGTCTGTGCCTACAATATTTAGATAGTTTCACCCCGTTAGTGGTTTTAATACTAGTTGAGCAGGCGCTGCTTTGTGATGCATCACACATGTCTCTTTTAAAAACACATTTAAACTGTTCAGAATACAAATCCAAAGGACCAGAACAGGGTATATACAGCAATCCTTAAGTAAAATTTACTACTTTTTAATACTTTTTTTTTTACTACCTTCAGAATTTTTTAAAAACCATCACAACACTAAATTGCAAGTGTTAATCAGCGACCTATTTACACATATTTTAACATATATAACATACAAAAAGAATAGACTTAGAGACTCACTGATGTTGACAACGTATTGCACATATTTATTTTACTTAGAAAATAAGCCAGGCACTTCTGTTCAGCGGTTCAGACAGTTGACCACGAGGCCTGAAATGATGCACAACGACCACTGAATATGACGTCATCATTGTGACCGGATATGCTAAAGTAGGGCTGCTCGATTATGGCAAAAACAATAATCACGATTATTGTGACTGAAATTGAGATCTCGATTATTTAAGACAATTTTTCAATTTATGTAGATTTTTATTTTTTTATTTTTATTCAGTCATAAAATTGCTCAGGGCACAATCAGGGCAAAAATAAACAAGAAACAAGATGATCACTAAAATAACTCCTGATTCCCAGTATAAAAAGTCCAATATACTTATAGCTAATAGTCTATGACCCAAGGGCTATAGACCTTGGTTTAACTCATTTAAGTCTAACCAGTACAGACCCAAATACCAATACCTTGCAAATACTGACAGCAAGAATTATACAGTGGCATTTATAACAAATACATGCAAATTGCTGTTCACTAAATGTTGCATAACATTTATTGAGTCGTGTCAAGGTGCTGTAGGAGAGTGCACTAGCACCATGTCCTCAGAGAGATTAGTTATTAGTTATCAGCATGAGGAACTTATTTCTACCTTATTTATAAACTATTTATTTACAAGTCGTCCATCAGTTAATGTAATAATTGTCCCAACCACAGCTGCACCCCCCACCCCCCAACCCGGTCTCACAGCAATCGGGGCAAGCTGCACGTGTGTTTAGCACGCCGCACGCGCACATTTAGCCGTTTTTATCGGCTCAGGAGTCCGCAGGTGCGGTGTGTGTCACTCTCACTCTGGTTACTCCAACATGGAGCCGGCTCCGAGAGCTGTCTTAAGCGACTGACACATCACTGCATCATTCCCTTTCCTAATGTCCTGAAGAACGGTCCGGAGCGCAGGCGGAGTGTTTAGCTAACCTGCAGGAAATGTCGACGACAGTTATCCAGAAAGTAGCTAAGGGTTACCAGATATGTTTCTCAGGTGTTCGCTAGGTACTTTTAAGATTTAAAAAGTCAAGAAGGGGGTCTGAGAAGCTGTTAGAAATAGCGTCAAAGTTGCTAAATTAACTTGGCAACACTGGGAGGAGCGCTTCATTTGCAACTCAAGGCAGCGCAAGTGGGAGGAGCAAATAATCGGCTTGTTTTGTTTTTATAATCGTTCAAAACATTTTATTCGGAATATATTTCTATGTTGATGTTCAGAATACGACATCTGATAGTCTGAAAAAAATAATACCTAATTTGGAAAAAATAATACCTCTGAGACCAAATTTAACACTTTCAATGGCCTTAAATTTGACTATTTTTATTTATCACTTTTTAATACTTTTTAAAACCCCGCGGACACCCTGCAGAATTATGGAAAGGCACAGATCTGGAAAAGGTTACAGAAAAAAACTCTACTGCACTTAAAGTTCCTTAGAGCACAGTGGTCACCATAATCTGTGAATGGACGACGTTTGGGATGACCAGAACCCTTCCCAGAGCAGGCCATCTGGCCAAACTGAGCTACCGGGGAAGAAGCTCCTTGGTGAGAGAGGTAAAGAAGAACCCAAAGATCACTGTAGCTGAGATCCAGACATGCAGTCAGGAGAAAGTTGTAGAAGGTCAACCATCACTGTAACCCTCCACCAGTCAGGACTTTATGGCAGAGTGGCCCATCAGAAGACTCATCAGTGCAAGACACGTGAAATTATGCATGGAGTTTGCTAAGAAAAAAAAAACAAACATTTGAAGGACCCTGAGATGGTGAGAAATATGATTCTCTGGTCTGATGAGACCAAGACAGAACTTTTTGGCCTTAATTCTAAGAGGTATGTGTGGAGAAAACCAGGCACTGCTCAGCACTTGTCTAATACAGTTCCCCACAGTGAAGCATGGATCATGCTGTGGGGTGTTTTTCAGCTGCAGGGACAGGACGACTGGTTGCAATGGAGGGAACAATGAATGCGGCCAAGTACAGGGATATCCCGGACAAGAACCTTCTCCAGAGTGTTCAGGACCTCAGACTGGGCTGAAGGTTTCCCTTCCAACATGACAACGACCCTAAGCACACAGCTAAAATAACGGAGTGGCTTCATGGCAACTCTTGACTGTTCTTGAATGGCCCAGCCAGAGCCTGGGCGTAAACCCAATTGAGTATCTCTGTAGAGACCTCAATGTCCACCAATGTTCATCATCCAACCTGACAGAACTGGAGAGGATCTGCCAGGAGGAAAGGCAGAGGATCCCCAAAATCCATGTGTAAGAAAATTGTTGCATCTTTACCAAGAAGACTCATGGCTGTATTACATCAAATGTGTGCTTCTACTAAATACTGAGCAAAGGGTCTGAATACTCAATTTTTCTTTCTTTAATAAATGAGCATACATTTGTAGAATTCAGTTTTTCTGTCAATTTGGAGTACTGTGTGTACGTTAATGAGGAAAACTGAATTTAACTGAATGTTAGCAAATGGCTGCAGTATAACAAAGAATGAAAAACTGACGGGGGTCTGAATACTTTCTGTAACCACTGTACATAAGAGGGCAAAAATAAAGTTATAACAGGAAGAAAATCAGTAGATGCTCTAATAAACTCCTGTGCAACAGTGACTTAAAATGTCATTTAACGCCTTATTTTAACACTTCTCTGCTTTTCTTTTTTTTTTTTTTTTTTTTGCTCTAAACCAGACTTCTGGATGGTGTGTCAGAAATACTCTTTGGATGGCCGTGTTCGAGATGAGCTGCGCCTTGCCTGGAAAACAGACGAGAGCAGACGGAAGCAGCAGGGGGAGAGGCTGAAAGCCGGCGTTTAAGTCGGACAGATTTCTCTACATGTGTAGCTCGGGGGTGACGATGGCTGAAGATATCGCGTTAAGAGTTCATACTTGTTTAATTTTTTATTTCAATTCTGGTGCCTGTTAGCAGCTGAAACACATCCTCACGTGTTTGTGGATATCATATATTGTATATGAAGATATGACTGTAATAATAAGTAAAGGTTATCAGCTGTAGCTTCAGTGTGCTCATAGGAAACGTGACAAAAGAACACAAAACACATTTCTTTATGGCCTATATAGTTGTCATCATCAACGTAACATGATTTACAGAATACATGTGACCAACTATCTTTTTTTTTCTCCTTGAATACGCTTTATTGACAAAGCACATAATACACCTACAAAGAAATAGCAAGCACCATGTCAGGGGTTTCTATGGGAAAACAGAGCAGTCTAACAGAGAATCACATGATATTGAACAGGGAACCTAAGTTTTTGGTTTTGACAGCTTTCAAATTTTGAGATTGTTGTATGGTTTGAATTTTATTTGATTAATTTATTGATATTATTAGCCAAATTTCATATACATAAGTCGAAAAGTTCTAATGCAACACCTTCCTTTCAGTGCTTTTTAAGTGAAACCAGACAATATATAAAAACCATGTGACCAACTAACATTTCATGTTCTACCACCGGATGTTTGGATCAAAATGTGAACCAATCAGATCTTAGATCAGGTGAGAGCCTGGCATTTCCCATCATCCCCTAGGTTTTGCAGCCGGTGGACAGCAACTGCAGCACCTTGCTCCAAAGTCTGCGGCCGCCTTGATCTCACGAGGTTATCGTTGCCTACGTATGCATGACGTCAGAGCAAGTCGGTGTCAAGTCGGACACAAATCTAACCGGCATGCACTACGCGCCGATCACCGGTGATCGAATCTGCGCAGATCTGGCTCATCTCGAACACGGCTGATGTTTTTCCATAAACATTTTTTGCATATGTCCACATATATAACTAAATTAAACCTGAACCCAGTGTCTCACTGTGCTGCTAATGTTAAAAACAAATTGCAGATGCTATTCATGAGAGATTCATTGAACAATTTTGAACTAATATGCCTAATTCTTATGGTATAGTAATTTTGCGAATGTTAAATAAAATTGTACGAAAAACCGTGGAGTCAAATATGTGAGGGTTGGTGGCCCAATTACAAATAAAACAAAAACCATGCCATTTAAAAATGATTGATCCAATTTTTACTGACTTGATGGGAAGCCTCCACCAAAGAACATGTTGAACAGGTCCTCGGGTGAGATGTCTGCTTCAAAGTCGTGATGCTGTCTGCCCCTGCCCCTGCCCGGGTGTGCTCTCTCCTCTCCATACTGGTCGTACTGCCTTCGTTTCTCAGCATTACTCAGAACAGCGTAGGCATTACCAATCGCTGAAAGAAACACACGTCTACTTAGCTGTTCTGAACTTGAACGTTATTCCTAGAAAAGTAATGGAGATTTTACCTTTAAACGCCTCCGTAGCTCCAGGTGCGTGATTTTTATCAGGGTGAAATTTCAGAGCCAGTTTTCTGTAAGCCTTCTTCAGATCCTCCTCGGAGGCTGTCTTTTCAACTCCAAGTATTTGGTAGTAATCTTTGCAGCTCTTAATCCTGCAGTAAAATGAAACAATTCAATAACAAATACGACCTAGATAGCCACTGTCCGGCCTAGCTGGTCCTCATAAAGCAGCTTTGTCACAGAGCAGATCATTTGTGATTACTGTAATAGTTTTATCTGGGTGATGAAGTTACAATGACTTTCTGACAGCCTCCAGCTGCTCTGCTGTGTAAGGTTTGGCCGAGTCTGTGGACTCATGTGACGAATCAGCCCCATCTCCGTCCCCGCCACGGTGCCTCAAAGAGGGTCCGTCTCCGTTCACAGCCCTGCCGTTCTCATCTGGAGGCTTTCCATTTTGAGACAACGTCTCCAGCAAGTCTGTAAAGAAAGTAATGCCTTCATTTCCCCACATCAGTTCCTGATCAATTAATCCGTTAACTAATAGATAAGAATTTAAGACGCTACACATAAATTCAACACCAATATGAAGAGGTTAAACCCAAACGTTAAGAAACGTAAACATAAGTTACATTATACAGACGTTACTGTTGATACTGGTGGTAATAAAAAACCCTGAAAGTAGCCGTTACAGCTAGCAGCCATTAAGCTAACGTTAGCCTGCCGGCCCTCTCACTCAGACACCGTCGCTGTTAAAATAGACGCGTATTCGACGTACTTTTGGCATGGTCTGTCGGGAACAGGCGCTCAGCCTTCTCCAGAAACTTTCTGGCTTTATCTAACTGGTTGTTGCTGATCGCATTAAGCGCAATCTTGATGCACCGCTCCGCTTCGTCCTTGTTTGAGTCCATCGCAAAGCAGCGGAAATGTTTACTTGCCCCCGGGACGCACAAGAATAACGTCACGGTCTGGCAAATATTACATAACTGCACGAGCGACTGATGGGAAATGTGGTTTTAAATTTCTTTTTATTGCAAAGCTAAATATTTCAAGCTTTTATTTGTTAGAATTGTGATGATTATGGCTTACAGCTTACGAAAGCCCCAAATTAAAAATCTCAGGCATTTAGAATTTTTCTAGGCTGATAGTAAAAATAAAAACATCTCACCCTCCTTGGGGGGCTAGGGTGACCAGATCCCAACTTGCCAAATGTGGGACAGAGATTACTCAATGCGGGACAACGAGAAGTTCCAAAGTAATGAGAAAAAAAAAACAACTAACAAAACGTATATTCTACCTTTTTGCCATAATAAAATTATTATCCTTATTATCTTCATATATTTCTTTTATATATTTTATTTGAATTCAACATGAACAAGCAGCAAACGATTTTTTATTTCACAGTTCCTCTCAAGTTACCAGATAGGCCCACAATAATAATAAAAAAATGTATGTTTAAGCAGCTTTTCAGAGTTTTCATTGAATGTTTTCCACAACAGAATGACAGTAAAAGTCTCGTCTCGTCTCGTCTTCCTCCGCTTATCCGGGTCCGGGTCGCGGGGGCAGCATCCCAACTAGGGAGCTCCAGGCCGTCCTCTCCCCGGCCTTGTCCACCAGCTCCTCCGGCAGGACCCCAAGGCGTTCCCGGACCAGATTGGAGATGTAACCTCTCCAACGTGTCCTGGGTCGACCCGGGGGCCTTCTGCCAGCAGGACATGCCCGAAACACCTCCCCGGGGAGGCGTCCAGGAGGCATCCTGACCAGATGCCCAAACCACCTCAACTGGCTCCTTTCGATCCGGAGGAGCAGCGGTTCTACTCCGAGTCCCTCCCGAATGTCCGAGCTCCTCACCCTATCTCTAAGGCTGAGCCCGGCCACCCTACGGAGGAAACTAATTTCGGCCGCTTGTATCCGCGATCTCGTTCTTTCGGTCATTACCTAAAGCTCATGACCATAGGTGAGGATTGGGACGTAGATCGACCGGTAAATCGAGAGCCTGGCTTTCTGGCTCAGCTCCCTCTTCCCCACGACAGATCGGCTCAGCGTCCGCATCACTGCAGACGCCGAACCAATCCGCCTGTCGATCTCCCGATCCCTCCTACCCTCACTCGTGAACAAGACCCCGAGATACTTAAACTCCTCCACTTGAGGTAGGACCTCTCCCCCGACCCGGAGGTGGCAAGCCACCCTTTTCCGGTCGAGAACCATGGTCTCAGATTTGGAGGTGCTGATCCTCATCCCAGCCGCTTCACATTCGGCCGCGAACCTACCCAGCAAGAGCTGAAGGTCAGAGCTGGATGAAGCTAGGAGGACCACATCATCCGCAAAAAGCAGAGACGAGATTCTCCTGCCACCTAACTCGACACACTCCACACCACGGCTGCGTCTAGAAATTCTGTCCATAAAAGTGATGAACAGAACCGGTGACAAAGGGCAGCCCTGGCGGAGTCCAACCCTCACTGGGAACAGGTCCGACTTACTACCGGCTATGCGGACCAAACTCACGCTCCTCTGGTAAAGGGACTGAATGGCCCTTAACAGAAAGCCACCCACCCCATACTCCTGGAGCGTCCCCCACAGGGTGCCCCTGGGGACACGGTCATAAGCCTTCTCCAAATCCACAAAACACATGTGGATTGGTTGGGCAAACTCCCATGCCCCCTCCATCACCCTTGCAAGGGTATAGAGCTGGTCCACAGTTCCACGGCCAGGACGAAAACCACATTGCTCCTCCTCTATCTGAGATTCAACTATCGATCGGACCCTCCTCTCCAGTACCTTGGAGTAGACCTTTCCAGGGAGGCTGAGGAGTGTGATCCCCCTATAGTTGGAACACACCCTCAGGTCACCCTTCTTAAAGATGGGGACCACCACCCCGGTCTGCCACTCTCTAGGAACTGCCCCCGATGACCACGCAATGTTGTAGAGACGTGTCAACCATGACAGCCCTACAACATCCATAGCCTTGAGATACCCAGGACGAACCTCATCCGCCGCTGTGTAGTTGTTTGACTACCTCAGCAACTTCTGCCCCCGAGATCGGACAGTCCATCCCCAGGCCTCCCAGCTCTGGTTCCTCCTCGGAATGCGCATTGGTGGGATTGAGGAGCTCCTCAAAGTATTCCTTCCACTGTCCGACTATAGCCTCAGTTGACGTCAGCAGCTCCCCATCCCCACTGTAAACAGTGTGAGCGAGTTGCTGCCTTCCTCTCCTGAGGCGCCGGACAGTTTGCCAGAACCTCTTTGGAGCCGATCGATAGTCTTTCTCCATGGCCTCACCAAACTCCTCCCACGCCCGAGATTTTGCCTCGGCAACTGCCACTGCTGCACCCCGCTTGGCTATCCGGTACCTGTCTGCTGCCTCCGGAGACCCACAGACCAGCCACGCCCTGTAGGCCTCCTTCTTCAGCCTGACGGCTCCTCGAACCTCTGGTGTCCACCAGCGGGTACGGGGGTTGCCACCACGACTGGCACCGGCCACCTTACGGCCACAGCTAGCAACAGCCGCCTCGACAATCGCAGAGTGGAACAAGGCCCACTCGGACTCAATGTCCCCCACTGCTCTCGGGACGTGGTCAAAGCTCTGCCGGAGGTGGGAGTTGAAGACCGTCTTGACAGGTTCTTCTGCCAGGCGTTCCCAGCAGACCCTCACTATGCGTTTGGGTCTGTCAGGTCTACGCGGCATGTTCCCTTGCCATCTGATCCAACTCACCACCAGGTGGTGATCAGTTGACAGCTCCGCCCCTCTCTTCACTCGGGTGTCCAAAACATACGGCCGCAGGTCAGATGATACGACTACAAAATCTATCATCGACCTGTGACCTAGGCTGCCCTGGTACCAAGTGTACCGGTGGGCATCCTTATGTTCGAACATGGTGTTCGTTATGGCCAAACTGCGGCTTGCACAGAAGTCCAATAACAAAACACCGCTCGAGTTCAGATTAGGTGGGCCGTTCCTCCCAATCAAACCCCTCCAGGTCAAGCTGTCATTGCCCACGTGAGCATTGAAGTCCCCCAGCAGGACAATGGAGTCCCCTGATGGAGCACTATCTAGCACTCGTCCCAGGGACTCCAAAAAGGGTGGGTACTCTGAACTGATATTTGGCCCATAAGCACAAACAACAGTCAGGACCCGTTCCCCGACCCGAAGGCGCAAGGAAGCTACCCTCTTGTCCCCCGGGGTAAACCCCAACACACAGGCAGAGAGTCTCGGAGCTAACAAAAAGCCAACCCCAGCCCTCCGCCTCTCACCCGGAGCAACTCCAGCAAAGTAGAGTGTCCAACCCCTCTCCAGGTCTCGGGTTCCAGAGCCAATGCAATGTGTCGAGGTGAGTCCGACTATATCTAGCCGGTACCGCTCAACCTCTGCCACAAGCTCCGGCTCCTTCCCCGCCAGCGAGGTGACGTTCCATGTCCCAAAAACTAGTTTTCTTGTCCGGGGATTGGACCGCCAAGGCTCCCGCCTTGGTCTGCCACCCGATTCGCATTGCACCGGACCCTTCATGTTCCTCCTGCGGATGGTGGGTCCACAGTTGGACGAGCCCATGTATCCGGTTCGGGCTGGGCCCGGCCGGGCCCCATGGGCGAAAGCCTGGCCACCAGGCGCTCGCTCACGGGCCCCAACCCCAGGCCTGGCTCCAGGGTGGGACCCCGGTAACCCTCCGGGCCGGGTACTCCGACTCTTCATTTTAACCGCCATGAAAGATCCTTCGAACCGTTCTTTGTCTCACCCTTCTCCTCCTTGAACCGTCACCTTATCGTGGTGGAGGAGTTTGAGTGCCCTAATGATCCTAGGAGCTATGTTGTCTGGGGCACTTAGTGCCCCTGGTAGGGTCTCCCATGACAAATTGGACAGTAAAAGTACCAGTAATATTTTTTAGATCTATTTATGTTTGTTTTAATTAATTTTCCACTAAAATTAGCATCTCATTGAAAAAATATCCATTTTTTTAGCAATTCTTTTCTTAATTTTTTTCTTAATTCAGAAACAAAACGTTTTTTTAAACATGACAACAAATCTCTTTTAATTTTAGGTGAGAGAATAAACATCAGATTCTAATCTTTAAAAAATTCAGATCTAATCAACTTAGTTTCTCAGAGTTACTTTTTGCCTCAGATTTCTGAGAATCAGTGATCAAAGCTTCTATTTATTCTCTCATTATTTCTTCACTGTGCTTTAAAGGGGAATTATGGAAGTTTGACAGTCAAAACATGTATAGAAATAATAAATGTCTTCTTCACACATTCTCCTGTAATGCCCTGGTCCTGTAGAATGAGCCCTGGCATTTTTACTGTGATTGCCTGTTTTTCTGTAAAATCACAGAAAAAGAGAGCTGCCCGGGTCAAGCAGGCTGCTTCATGTGTGTTCACGCTCAGGCATAGCCCGTAGCATTTGCTATCTGTAGATTTAGCAGCAGAGAGTGAGGTAGTGCCAACTCAGCGACTTTGTCGCTGTTCCTAACGCCTAGTGATGAACCTAGCTACATATCTGAGGACCCTTAGCTACTTTCTGTAGAACTTTCTTCTAGATATTTCCTGCAAATTAGCAACAAAATAGCCATTTTCGCTCCAAAACCGTTCTTTGAACGTTGTTTCAGCTATCATCAAGGATATAAATACGACAGATACAAAAGACACCACTGGTGCTATAGCTCACCTAATAAGATGGTGGACTCACATGCGGAAGACCCGGGTTTGATTCTGGATGTAAACATAGTTTTTTAGAGTTTATATTTTATATTAATGATATATTTTTTTACAGTAAGATGCCCAAACTTTTACTTGAGACTCGCCGAACGGCATTGAATTCTCAGATAAAAAAGATGCAAGCAAGGGAAGGACATGATCTGAGCATGCAGGGAGACTGACCCATCTTAAACCTTTGTCGGCTGTGTTGAAGAGAAAGGTACAGAACCAAATTATTTAATTAATTAGCTGCGTGTTCTCCTGTCCTCCAGAACACA